CCTCCGAACTGATTTCGAGACGGATCCGATCACTCAAACCACTTCAGGAGGTGGTCTGAGACGCATTCCAGATGAAACTGGACAAGTGTAAATGCATCAGGTTGTTGAAACCACATATGTAAATTTTACTCCTCCCAAAATGTAAAAAAAATAAATGTGTGAGAGCGTGTTTTACATCTTATAGTCAGATATGACAGTGCTAATGCAACACACATCGCCGCAGATGATATATAGCATCGCAAACTGCCGCAAATGGAACTGAAAGGTAGCAGACGATCAACAAGCAATCATCTCCATTAAAAGTAGAGAGCCTAACTTATCTTTCCAGTGCTGATACCGCGCTCTCTACTATTGCGGTCTTTGATCTTGAAATTAGCTGATGAGAAATAAAATGCAGCACATATCTGTTGCTTTCGTTGACGCGAACTCTGTTAAATTTGCATATAGTGTGGGAATTGAAGATCGGATTTACTGTATATCCATTTTGCAGAGATACATTTATGTGGCCAAGTGTAAATGGAACCATTTTAGCAAATCAGACAGATATCCGATCACTAAAGACACATTAAGTGACCAAGTGTAAGCAGGCCCATAGCCTTAGCCATAGCTCACGTTTTTAGATTTTAATAATTCATTACACTCAGATGTATGCCACTATATGGAAGAAAAGATCTGTTGCTACTCTTCATTACTTACTTTATCCACACAAGAAGACAGTGAGGTTCAGTGTTGTTTTGACACTGACATTTTTTGGATAAATCCAGGTGAAATATTTTTTAAATAATCTGAAAAGAAAGTCATACAGGTTTGGAACGATATGAGGTTGAGTAAATGATGACAGAATTTTAATTTTGGGGCAAACTATCACTTTAGGTAAATTTTGACTTTATATATATATATATATTTGCTGTGATTCCCAGTGAAACACACACACTCAAACTCGCACACTGTAAGTCAAGTTACAAATGAATATGATACCAGCACATTCACCCACTCAGACGCTATTCCCTCACACTTCCACTGTGTTGCGCACACACACACACACATGCACATATGCAGGATCCGGGCTTTCATCTTGCCCCTGGGCATATGGCTTTTCAGAGGGGCTGTCAGCACCAGTTTACCGTGATCAGCTACATCAAGCTCATCAGATCTGTCTGCGCACACTGTCGGGCTTTGAGCTCAGCAGAACCAGCCCAAAGAACAGAGCACCACCATAAATAACGGCATCCTTAGAGAGTTATGCAACACAAGGCGAATTCGATCCCAAGGTGATGACTTTCTGATGGAGAATAATGCACACTGTCTGGTGTTTGCTTTCTGATTGATTTGTATTTGAAATAGTGGCGGAAACGGCTGAAGTTCACACTGAGGTGAACCTTAACAGAAACATTTGTTTCTTTACAGTAGGAAAGCATTCGGGGAAAAAAGGCCAATACAGCATTCGGGTGGTTAGAATAAAATAAGAGCATTGGACAATTTTATTTTAGTTGAACATTTTCATTGTTTTCATTACCTAATAAACACAAAAAGAGGATGTTTTGCATTAGCTTAAGAAAATGAAATGCAAAAAGTGTACATTTGGTTATAACTGATCAACATTACTGATCAAAGCTTTGGGGTTGGTAAGATCTTTTTTTTGTTTTGTTTTGTTGTTGAAAGAAGTATCTTATGCTCACCAAGGCTGTATTTATTTGATTAAAATACCATAAAAACAGTAATATTGTGAAATATTTTTACAAATTAAAATAACTGATTTCTGTTTCAATATATTTTTGAAATGTAATTTATAATTGTAAAGGCAAAGCTGAATTTTCAGTAGTCATTACTTCAGTCTTCAGTGCCACATGATCCTTCAGAAATCATTCTAATATGCTGAAGAAACATTTCTTATTATTTTCAATGTTGCAAACAGTTGTGCTGCTTAATATTTTTGTACAAACCATGATAAATTTTTTCAGGATTCTTTGATGAATAGAACAGCATTTAATTTAAATAGATTATTTTGTAACAATATAAAATATCCTTACTCTCACTGGTGATCAATTTAATGCATCCTTGCTGAACAAAATAAATCTTACTGACCCTAAACTTTTAAATGATAGTTCATGCATTTTGTGTTTTTGCGCTGCCACAGGGAATGATGGGAAATGTAGTTTTGTCAAACAAGGCTCTCACCTTATAAAATGCCTCAATGAGCAGAAATGTCTTTATCACAATCTTATTATGAATAATATCAATGAGCCTTCCATCATAATTCTTTCATTAACATGCCCCCATTAACATGTGGATTTTCTGTGGAAGAAAATCCTCAGCTTCTCATTGGTAATTATGACATTGTGGTGCCATTAATGATTGTTCATAAATCATTATTTCAACATATCCTAAAGGCAGCATTAGTGCTTTGCAGATAATTGTATGCTGAAATTGCTTGGATGGGAAGTCTGCATCTATGTTTAAGTTAACAATGTCACAAACTATGCCAAACACACTATGGCATATTATCTTATTACATACTCAAAAGTGTACATTCCCATCAGCAAATGACGCACAGGACATACTTTTAGAATAAGAGAATGCAAATTGGAATGCAACCACTATTTCTTTCTCTCAAAGGACAAACACAAGGACCAGGCTTACATTCACACACACATCACTCTGTTTCGTTTGCTGGAACAGGTGCATATTGTTATGGCCTACAGGGAGAGCTGTGTGGTTTTTAATAATCGAAATCCTCCTCAGGTGTTTCATTTCAAAACTTTCGTTTGCATAATTACCTTACGTTGCATAACCCATGTCTGATTTCACAGAGACATCTGTCATTGTTTCGCATTGCCTTTGCAGGGGAAGCTTTATTATTAATGTCTGCGATGCCTGTGATCTCACTAACAGTCAGGCTCTGCTTTTTCACTCTTGATTCAAAGCGCCATGCTTTTGTTTGCAATAACTGTTCACACATTCTTCTGTTGACCATTGTCATTCTCTTTTGTGTTTTTTCCCTCCTCATCCCTCTTTCTTTTTGCATGTCCCTTGCACTGCCTGTGTTTATTGTGGGCGAATGAAGAACTGGAATCATCGAGCTGTCACTCAAGTAGGCCTTTCATCTCAAAACTCGGCATTTGATTGATATGCTGTGCCTCAGGGCATCAATCAGACATTGATGTAAACCAAAAACAGTATTAGACCTTAGTTTATTATATCATGTTTCTAATCAAATCATTCTACAGAATCTTTTTAATGAATTTTTGTCATTTGTTTGGTGTATTAAACTGTATCGTCTGTGTATGTCAGTGTTTGTAACTCAGTGGATGTGTTGATTGGTACGTAAGGGTGTTTAAAGGAATATTTCACTCAGAAATAGAGATACTGTTATTATTTACTCCCTCTCTTGTTGTTCCAACCCCATTTGCTGTCTCTTGCTCTCACTGGAACACAAATAGAGAATTTTTATACGTTTGAGAAAAACATTTTCGCCACTCAGTTTTAGACAATATTTAATGGAGACTTCATCTGTTAAGCTCCACATAGACCAAAAAGCACCATAAAAGTAGTTTATTACTTATTTATATTATTTATTTATTACAGGTCATCTGAAGTCATGAAAACTTTGTGTGAAGAACACACCAAAATATAAGCAGTTATTTAGGCTGGATCATTGACTCAGTGAGTTGAACTCATCAATGAATTATTCAAAACGGTTTAACAACCAAGCTAACCATTTCATTGAAAAGGACTGGCTCAAAAGAATCATTTATTCACTGATCTAGTTCTTGAGTTCAACTAAATCAGAAAATAGTTTGTAGCGGCTCTCTCTCTTTTTTATTTATTTTTTGTATTTGGTAATTTTCTGAACTTAAAATAATTGATTACTATAAACTGTTACTGTATAGATAAACACTGCATGTAAACTCCAAAGTTAATAGCAGCATACAGGTTTGTAATGACATGAGGGTGAGTAAATAATGACAGAATTTTCATTTATGCACACTGACCGGAATTACTGTAGTATCACAAAGCAGCACAAATACTATCCAAAATGTCTTTTCCCCCCCAAAATGTCCTTTTTATTTTTTAAATACAGCAAAATGGCTAGAAAGAAGCCTCATTTCTTTTTTTCAGTGTCTCTTTGAAGAAAACTGAAGAAATCACTAGAAGTGATGTAATTTGTATTTGTAATATATACCCAACTAAATCCCTGGATAAAAAGATAGTCTTATTCCTGATATGAAAAATGTGTGAAAAATAAATAATACACACATATACAGAGTCTAGGGTTACAGGGTGATTTTGGCTTGAATATTTAAAACAGACATTATACATATTTAATGTTATTGTTGTGACCATTCCCCTAAAGCAAGTCTCTACTGTAGTGTGTATTGATGTCCTTGTGTGTATAGTAGTTTGTTTGATTGACGTGCAGTGCACTCAAGAAAGCTGTTTTATTCATGTACATGCACTCATAGTTCACCCAGTAAGGAATTTATAATATATAAAACATTAATTCAGCCAAATTTCAAAATTAAGTAATCACTACAACTAGTAGTGGTTCATCTCCTGTTCTGTTTCTCAGAATAATGATTGCAGTAACTCTGGTGACAAGAAATAATAGGGGAAAAAATAGGGAAAGATCATGCTTTGACAACACAGAAGTACACTTTTAGAAAAAGAGTGTACACTTAGGTTATTTTTGAATATATTCCAGCGTGTTTGTTCAGATCTGAGGAGTTCTTTGTTCTGGCTGCTCAGGTGCTGTTGCTGCTCTCTGTATTGTTGATTTCAGAGGGCTGGCTTGGCAGACGCCTGTGCATATTTATAAATGCAGAGAATCTGTGCTAAGAGAGACAATGCACTTTGTTTAGACTCAAGAAAAAGTGTTTGTATAATTGCTTTCGGCCTATAATGTTTATATTTGATGGATGGATGGATGAAAACATATCAACACACGTTTGAATGATAATGCTCTATGTATAACTCTCTCCATCTCTCTGTCTCTCCTTCAGGGTATCAGTAGTTTGTTTAGTTCACTGAAGGTGGTTCGGTTGTTGCGTCTGGGCCGGGTGGCTCGCAAACTAGATCACTACATTGAATACGGTGCGGCTGTTTTGGTTCTGCTAGTTTGCGTGTTTGGGCTGGCGGCCCATTGGCTGGCCTGCATCTGGTACAGCATTGGAGACTATGAGGTGATTGACGAAGATCGTAACACAGTTCGTACGGACAGCTGGCTTTATATGCTGGGAGAGATCAGCGGGTCACCCTATCGCTTCAACACCAGCGGGATGGGAAGATGGGAAGGCGGACCTACAAAAGATTCTGTCTACATTACGTCTCTGTACTTCACCATGACCAGCCTGACCAGTATTGGCTTTGGAAACATCGCTCCAACCACAGATGGGGAGAAGATCTTCGCCGTGGCCATGATGATGATTGGATGTGAGTTGAAAAGCTTTATTTTTTCCTCATAAACACCAGAGTGAAAAAATGCAGTGTTGATAAGTCTCAAGGCTGTTTATCATATGAGAACAAATAATTGTTGTGCGTAGAAAAAACTAACTAGCACTGTACAACTAGGTTAGCTAGCTAGCAAGTTCAGGCCTCAGCAATAACAATGACCCACTGGCCAAGTTTTAGGCCAGTTGACAGAACTGTTCTACATTTTTTGATTATTTGCATGCATGTTTATGCCTTGCAAATGTAAGCATGTGCTTTTCTGTGACATTTGGGTGCAAATTCTGCTTGACAACTTTTTAAACTGGTCAACTTTTTTCTAACTGGCTAACAGAAAAAGTTTTTAGCCACAGAATGTACTTTGGTCAAAACGTTGCCATGATATCTTCCAGGGTGAAATGATCCGTTTCTAATCACATTACCCCATCAATTGTGTTTTGATTCATTTGTGACCATTTTTGCTGACTGAGACAGCTACCTTTCATTTGGATCTGTTAGTGAACAGTGATTTGTTATAAAGACAGATGAGAGAAATAATGGAGCGTTGACTCTAGAGATGATGCCTGCAGGGTCATCCACGGCGGGGCTCTCGCAGATCACACTGCCATTGAGCTGTGATTCACCATTCAGAGGAAAATGAGTCAGTGCCATTATATATGTTACTAAACATGACCAGCTGCCAGCATGCTGTTATTTATATGGTGAAACTCCCTCATGAGAGGCTTATTTTCAGAGTAAACATACATAACGTCTCGGTTACGTATGTAACCCTCGTTCCCTGAAGGAGGGAACTGAGACGTCACGTCGGAGGACCGACGAATGGGGATCTCGCTGAGAGGGACCAATCTACTTAGAGTGTAAACTAAACGAGCCAATGCACATTGGTCTGCAATTATTGCATCCAGCTGCTGCTGATCACAGCGTGAGTATAAGTAGGCAGCAGATGCAGCACATATTTAGGTTTTCGCTGTGGAGCCGAGCCGGTGACCCGGCCGCTCAGCGGTGGTACAGGAGCTGTGGCGACGGGATGTGAAACGACCTCCTTCTACGGGGGCGTGGTTAGCAGCGATTGCAGTGACATAAACTTTAAGGGTGGAAGGAGACAGCCTTCGCTCCAACCCTTGCTGTAAAAAGGACAGCACAACTCCGATCGGGCATCTTCAGGGGTCTTCTCGACGAGAAGAACACCACTCAACGAACAGGTTCCACTTCAAGCGTAGGCGTGTCTCGTAGACTGTGCTCTCGCTGAAGTGATGGTGTCAACTACCTCTTGGGGTAGGCCACTCAGAACCTCCACGTCCCGTCCAGGGACCGGACATGAAGTTTCCAGAGGTCTGGATGCGGGTGCCAAAGGATGCCTCGTCTCTGAGTCAGTAAATCCTTCCTCAGAGGAATCGGCCAAGGAGGGGCTGCCGGGAACCTGGTCCGGGAAGGCCAATAGGGTGCCACCAGCCAGACCTGCTCCTCGTCCTCCCTGACCTTGCACAGCAACTGTGCCAGAAGGCTCACTG